TCGAAGGGATGGAGGCCGCCGCCGCGCCGCCCGCCTGAATCCCTCACCAGCGACTCTTCTTCTTCTTCGAGCGCGTCTGTTCTTCCCCCTGCCGCGACGCGCGCTGGCATTTTCCCCCCAAATCGAGCGCTGCTGTTCTTCGCGCGCTGGTGTTTTCCCCCCAAATCGAGCGGTGCTGTTCTTCGCGCGCTGCCGTTTCTCTCCGGCCGTCTGTTCTTCCCCCTGCCGTGGTCTGTTCTCTCCTCTTTTAAAGGTAAAACTCACCTGCTTCCCCTCTTCTCTCCTCTCCTCTTCTCTATTCTTCGCTTTTATAACCCGACGCGTAAAGTAAGAGTTGTCGCTGTCCTGGTTCAAGGGGAATCTTTTGGGGCTGGAACTTTACCTTTCTTTATACTGATGGTGGAGTTTTTGTCACTTTTTCCAGCTCAGCCTTCACCATGGTGGGTCATGTGCGTGCACCAAATGCGCCCCAACCAAAATATGGTGAGTCAACTATCCCTGAACAGCTCGCCTTTATTGCAGTAAAGGACAACAGTTTGTTGTTTTTTTCGAATTGAAAATTAGTGTTTGTGTGGAATAGCAAAACCAGCAGCATGTGTGAAGTGGTTCAGATGTCATTTTCATGGCTTTTAATACTAGTTGTTGGGTTAATGAAGTTAGACTTTAGCATCTGCCTTTTACTGCTTTGTCATTTTAATTAATCAGTCTCTCTTTCGTTCTTTGCAACAGGTGCTTCTAGTGGAGAGTTCACGTTTGAAGTGCACTTATCAGAATCATTGAAGAAGAAGGGTGGCAAGCATTTTCTGGATGAGAAGTCTACAGTCTACTGGGACTATGCAGATATTGATGAGTTATCAACGCTTGATCTGCCTGACATATACAAGGCATGTGGAGGGAAGATTGACAAGCCGAAGTTCTTCTGGAGCACTCCTTCAACTGATGCTATGTCAGAGATCACATCAGATGAAGATATACTCGCCATGTCAACAAGTGCAAATGAAGATGCGAGGGTCATCGAACTATATGCCATATCGGAGGAAGACATTGCTGAGATCATGGACAGTGATGAGGACGAAGATGGAGGTGCCACCAAGAGTAAAAAGGGTAAAGAAGTTGCTGGTCGTGAATCGGATTATGAGGAAGAAGATGATAGTGATTATGAGGCTAGTGAAGAGGAGGACTTTAGCAGAGCTGACAATCTGCATTTTGAAAGAAGCGTAGCAGCAGATGTAGAAGCTGATCTCTACACCGAAGAAGACGAAATTGAGAAGTGCAAGAAGACTATTTTAGAGGCAGAAGAGGGTTCAGATGTCGACTCAAACGATCGAAGGACAATTTGTAGCTCAGATGAAGATGAGGACAGTCACCAGGTGGAGGAGTTTCGAGCTGAGAGAGACATGGAGAGTCCTACTTTCGCAGTTTCGCAAAGATTCAGCAGTTTCGACGAGTTGAAAGAGGCCATAAAGCAGCATGCATTTGTGGAAAAGCGCCCCATTCGTTTCAAGAAGAACGACAAGAGGAGGCTGCAAGCAGTATGCGCTGATCCATGTGATTGGTATATATGGGCCTCCAAGATGATTCTGACAGATGCAGTACAGATCAAGAAGTGCAAGCTATAGCATTCTACAGATTGCCGGAGGACATTTAAGGTGAAGTTTGCAACTGCCAAGTTTCTGGGTGATAAACTTGCTGGGAAGATGGCAGCAGACAAGAAGATGAGCAAGGGGCTGCTCAAACAGATATGCAAGGAAGATTTTAAGGAAGATGTATTGGATTCAAAGGCATGGAGGATTCGAAGGGCTGCTCTTGAGAAGGTTAGGGGCAGTTTTATAGAGCAATTTCGAGGGCTATACCACTACGCCGAGGAATTGAGGAGGAGCAACCCAGGTTCTATAGTGATCATCGAGCAGAGAAATCAGCACTTTGATCGGATGTATGTATGTTTCCAGGCTTCAAAAATGGGTTTCATGGCTGGTTGCAGGCATGTCTTGGTTATTGATGGCTGTTTTTTGAAGCATGAGTATGGAGGTCAACTCTTTTCAGCAGTGGGTATTGATGCAAATGATCAGTACTTCCCAGTAGCCTTTGCTCATGTACCTGTGGTGAATAAAGAGAATTGGGAGTGGTTCTTGGAGCTCATCTCTAGTGACTTGGATGTTAGGGACAATCCCGGATGGACTTTCATGTCCGACAAACAAAAGGTATGCTTTCTATTGATTTATTCCTTGTTTTTGTGCTTACAATTCTCGGCTGTCCAGAATTTGAATTGTGTGTTATTGGTGTTTTAGGGACTAGTGCCAGCTCTCGATGGACTCTTCCCAGCCTGTGAGAAGAGGTATTGTGCAAGGCACTTGTGGACCAACTTAAAAGGTGCTTGTGGGGGGTCCCAAAACATGAAGAACCTGTTCTGGGCAGCAGTTAGAGCGGAAACGGTTCCTGAATTTCGCAACCAAATGCAAGCCCTATCAGAGTACAACAAGGCAGCCTATGATTGGTTGATCGACAAGCCATTCTACCATTGGACAAGGTCACATTATCAAACCCTCTGCAACTCTAAGATTCATACGAGCAATTTGGTGGAGAGCTGGAACAATGTGATTATAGAAGAGAGGGATATGGGTCCTGTATGTATGTGGGAGGGGATCAGAAGAAACTTGATGGTGTTATATGCCCACAGAAGGGAAATGGTGGAGAGATGGACATCTATGTTCACTGAGAAGATTGAGAAGGAGCTAGATGAGACTACTGAAGAAGCATTGAAGTGGTCAGCAGAAAGTAATGGGAACGGACAATTTGAGGTGAGGTGGCACAGCCACCAAGTTGTGGTCAATCTGAAGCAGAAGACATGTACATGTAGACATTGGGAGTTGACCGGCATTCCGTGTTCACATGCTATCACTGCAATCAGGAAGGCAAAGCTTCTGATCAAGGACCATGTTGCTGATTGCTACCTGCGGGAAACAGCGGCGAAGATATATGAGTTCTCCATTTCACCTACTAATGGCAAGGAGTATTGGCCAATTTCTGAGTTGGGGGATTGTGGAGTCCCTCCAGTTGCAAACTCGAAAAAAAGGGGCAGACCAAAGAAGCAGAGAAGAAAGGGACTTGATGAGGATGAGAAGGGGAAGAAAAAACAGAAGAAGGGTGAAAGGGAATCATCAAAGCCGGAAGGAAGGAAGTACGCGTGCACCATATGTGGGGTAGTTGGGCATACCAAACTGTTCCATAATGAAGAAAGGAAGAAACAGGTGGAGGAAAGGAGACAGGCTAAGGAACTGGCTAAGGAAGAAGCTAAAAGGAAGAAACAGCTGGAAAGAGCGGAAAAAAATCGATTGGCAGCCATACAGAAGTAGCAACAGAGGGCTGCAAAAGCAGCTGCAAAAGCGCCAATGAGTCAGCCCAACACTGTCCAGCTCATGCCAGATGTATATATTTATTCAATTTTACAATTTTGCTTTCTAATCAAGTCCTACTATCTTCTAATGTTGCTTTAACTTTGCAGGGAACTACTAGGAGGCCACGGATTGAGGCATCACAGCAGCTCAGCCAAGGATGTGGAGGATCGCAAAATGCAAGCCAAGTGACTCAAGAGTGAAGATTAGTTGCAGTTTAGGTCCAAATGATAATTATCATTTTGAAGCCTCCAATTGGCTAGGAAATGTAAACGTTTGAATGTTCTCCTTTGCGTATTAGCTAGCCTATTAGGTCAAAGTGAATTGCTATTTTGGAAAAACACTGTCGAGGCTATAATTATCATTTGGACCTTGTAAGACTAAGTTTTATGAAAGACTATCAGGTTTATCAATCTTCCAGTACATTGGAAGGTTCTTTTGCACAAATACGTGCCTTAGTTGTCCATTTATGCACCTATCTGTGAGTGACCAAACATGGTTCGAGTTATCAATTCCAGTGACCAAACATGAAACAAATTCACAATTCAAGTGACCAAACATGGAATTAAATTAGCAATTCAAGTGACCAAACATGTTTTGAATTAGCAATTCCAGTGACCGAACTTGAAACAAAATCGCAATTTAAGTGACCAAATGTGGAATGAATTAGCAATTCAAGTGACCAAACATGTTTCGATTTAGCAATTCACCATACCATACATGGAATAATTGAGCACTACACTAGCTACACATCAACAGATTACAACACCTACAACTACACAGACGACTTATCACTTTCCTATCCAAAACAGAAAAAATACAATAGCTCCTAAAATGATGAACGACACCATTTTCCGATCAAACTTGGACACCTCCTTGTTTTGCCTCTTCTCTAGCTCCCGAATTCGACGATGAAAATTTAGCAACACATTTCTCATATGATCATCAAGGGCTGGGTCAAGCCATCTGAAGTAGTTACATGCTCCATTTGTCTACACACCATCGACAGAAAAAATAGAAGGATGAAAAAGGCGGCATAATAGTCGAATTGTAACACTAAAAAGGAAACAATGGTGGATGAACCTTACCCCATATCTGCTGCATCCATAAAACCTTCTTCCTGGATTCGCCTCAGTCCAGCTCGTCTTTAGATCTGTTGGCTCTCCACAGTGACAGAAGGGAGCCGCCATTGGTAGAGGTGAAGTGAGAGGAGGAGGAAAGGAGGAGATGGATGGGGATGAGGCGATTCTCGCAAAGAGGAAGAGAACAGATGGTTAGGGATTCATTTCTGAGGGGGTAGACTTATATGAGAGGGCTGGATTAAGGCTGAGTTGGGTCTCGGGTCTGGGTTTAGGGTGAATCAATTGGGTTGGTTCTTGGGTTGGGCAAGTAAGGCTGAGTTGGCGGGTAAGGCTGAGTTGGTGGGTCGGGTCGGGTCGGGTCGTCTTTTTTTAATGTTTAAATGTGCTGACTGTGTCTTTCCGTTAGCCACGTCATCACTTAACGGCCGTCATTAACGGAGTCTAACGGAGGTTAACAGAGAGTGACTGAACTTGGACTGTTGAACTAATTCAAGTGACTATAAATGGAATAAATCAATTCGGGTGGCAAACGTGAAATTTTTAAGCAATTCGGGTGACCAAACTTGCAATTAAGCCTAAAATAAAATCTCGGTACGTTTTATATCAAAGTACCTTCAAAACCCAAAAACTGTCCAACAAAATCTAAAATATCCCATTTCAAAAAATACCAGCCGTCACAAACTCACAATCGGACGATCTAAAGCACATACAAAAAAGTTAAAAAGTAAAAATTGGGCAAAATCTTATTTGGCGCTAAAAAGGCAGTTTCTAAACGTTGGTGGGAAAACATCCCCGAGTGCTCCCTTCAAATCCGGCGGCCAGCGACCGTATCAGATCGGCAAAGGCGAAAACTTTGATCCACGCCGTAGGCAACCCTTTTTCCCCATCACAGCTTGGTGTTTTCTTCCTCAGGTAGAATTTGCCTCCGTCTACTCTCGTCTCCTGTGCATCTGCTTTTTTGGCTTCGTTTGATTTCCGCTTGCTTTGCCTTATCTCCTTTTAGGGTTATGGGCTCATAGTTGAAGGTCTCCCTTTTTCGTTTTCTTGTCTTCAATAATCGCTTGTAGCAATTATTCTAATTTCCCGTCCCCAATCCCCGTTGAACTCTCTGTCCTTCTTAAAGGCAACTCCTTTATGGATGCATCATCTGGGAAAGGAAAATCTCATTTATAGCTGCTTGTGCTTGAAAATGCCAAAACCTAGCTTCATTGTTAATACCCATCTAGTATCTACTCCATGTCTATTTTGAGTTATTGTAAGAAGTCCAAATCAGCTCTGTAATCATTTTGTTCTTTAGTGTTTCGAGATTTTAACTTTCTGTTTGTGGCAGGAGAAGTTTGTCGTTGTTCTTGAACTATAGCTCATTAGTTAAACCAGTGACGGTACATGTGATTGATTACGGGGGTAAAAGTGGATGAGAATGTAATGGTGATTGGTGTTGAATTTGATGGTTTTCATCCTGTGGTTAGTGTCGATGCTCCGGAGTCATTTCGCCATAGATTGAGCTATTCCCGTGCAGTAAAACTAGGGAATAAAGTCTCATTTCAGCTGCTACTTAGAATTTATGATGATGGTGAAGATGGGGATGGTGAAAACTGCGGTGGATGTAATGTGGGCTGTGATGAAGTGAAGGAGGAATATCATGAGATTTCCAGTGATGATGATGAAGATGATTGTGTTAAAGGGCATGCTTGCCGACCAACGAAACCACCAGATAAAAGGTACGATGAGGAAGCCTCTCCTGGTAACGGTCCTGGTTCGAGAAAAGATGAACGTGGTGATGATTCTTTTGACTGTAAAGATTTTGAAAAAGGTTCTTATGGAAAGTGTGAAGAAGAAGAGTGTGAAAAACCTCGCCCTCCTAAGTGTGAATCTGGTTTTCACGATATGAAGGTGCCTTGCAATGATAATCCTCGGAGTTCAAATTCGGGTCCAGGAGATAATCCGGAGAAGAAGCCTGATGAGGATTGCTTTGAGGGAAATAAGACATTTGGGGAAGATGAAAATTATTTCCCTGAAGAATGTCAGACTCCTGAGTACTGTAATGGCACTACCTTTCAACAAGAGGAAAAAAGAACCAATGATCATCAGTTTGATTGCCGTGGAAGTTTTCCTTTCGATGAGGAACAATATGCTGAGTTTGTATCTGACTTCCGTCCACCTCAAAGCAGCAATCCATCTCATCCAGCTACAACTAAGTACGCTAGCCATGTTGTTCAGGACAGTATAGTTGACGAGCGAGAGAAAATGAAGAAGACCGATGAATACAAACGTGCAGTTGAAGCAGAATGGGCAGCAAGGCAGCAGGAAATTCAAAATCAGGTGTGGTTGTTTTCCCTCTCCGTGGATCATTCTTGTGGTTACTTGTCACCACTGGCGCCAATACTCATTTTGTGACTTTGTTTAACAATTGGAGCCAACTGCATCTGCTTTGCTTTTTTAGGCAGAAGAGGCACAAAGATTGCGTAAGAAAAGAAAGCTTGAGATTAGTGAGGCAATAAAGAAGGTTAGGTTAATAAAGACTCAAAACTTTTTCCTGAGAGCTAACTTCTTCTGCAAGTAAATTCTCAGATTTTTGGTTGTTTAATTTTCAGGCACAAGAGGCAGAGAGACAGCTTAAGAGGAAGAAGGAAGCTGAGTTGCGTGCTTCAGAGATTAAGACGAGGCAGGAACAGCGAGTAAAAGAAATGAGGGAGGCAAAGAAGAAGGTAAAGGCAGGCTCAAAATTTCCTGCAAAAGGTGTAAAATAACTTGGCATTGCCAAGATGTTGTGGTTCTGATTGAATGCTTTCCAAACCTAGGATGAGCTAGATGGGAAGGCGAAAGAGAGATATCGTGCTGAAATTAAAAGGAAAATTTCTCTGCTGCAAGTTCAATGCAGAGACTTGCCATCACTGCTACGCAATTTGGGGTTCAGAATTAATGGTGGCGCCAATCCTTCTCCAGAAGAGGTTAGTTCAGCACCTGCTCTTATATAGATTTTCTAGCTTAAGGTATTGCTTTCCTGAATCTCCAGACCTGGAATTTCGCAAGTCTGTAACTACTACTTCTATTGTCTTCTGATTTAATTGTGAATCCTTAGTTCAGAAATCAGAACTAAAGATGAACCGATTAAGTCGACATGTTTAAATTTTGAAGTCTTGTGCATTACATACTTGAACATTTTGGCAGTTCTACTGATATCATTGTAAATGGTGATTTTTTTTCCTCCAGGTGCGTAAGGCTTGTAGAGAAGCTTTGCTGAAGTACCATCCTGATCGCTGGCCGAAAACTGACATTCGTCAGCAGGTTGAGGCCGAGGAAATGATCAAACTAATTAATCTGATGAGAGGATAGTTCTTCTCTTCACTACCAATGTCAAAGGACTAGTTGTAACATAACCAAATACTTACAAACTGGTCTTTCCAATCTGTCTTTGTAAGCCTATGCTAGTTTATAACCTGATTCAATCTGACTAAGGATAGAAGAAATGGTAATAGTGGGAGCGATCATCTTGTTACAAGCAAACGTAGCTCGGTTAATAGTTTTGTCGAGCTTGTAAATTAGTGATTATGTTGTTACTGGTTTATTAAACCCTCAATATAATCTCACCTTTATATCTGAATTTGAAGTTAGTATCGACTACCTATAATAATATAAGAAATTCGTGGAAGATAATCTTATCATCAAGGGTCGTTTGGATGAGGAATTGTAACGGATCAATTTGACACAATTGTCTCGTTTTGAGACAATTATACAAATTGCCTCGTTTGCCAGCAAAAAATTTGGATGGACGATGGGATCAATCTGCCTGAGGTATTTTGAATTGATCCGTTTTGAGTCAATTTCAATTACCTAGGGTGGGGGCAGGTAATTCGAATTGACTCGTTTTAATTGTCTCGTTTATAAAACGAGACAATTGATCAAATTGACTCATTTCTAGATTGATCAATCCATGATTTATTTTGGAGTGTACTTATGTAAGAGCAGATGAGTCATAAAATTATGCTTACATTGATCGTGCATAACTATCGTCAAAAGATCAATTGTGAAGTGAGAAGGAAAAAACAATTGGAATGAGATAAGGTGATAGCTCGTTAAATGGTTATTACCGAAAAGTTTGACTACCACATAGAGATTTCCATCCTCCCTAAACAACTGTCCAGTGCAACAAAACATATCCACATCTCGTCTATAGTTATCTTCTCATGAATTCATGAACTACACAATCCCAAAATTCATGTATATCGCTCCAGCCAAACTTCTTAATGGGATACGAGATGACTAACAATGATGCAACATATGATTTCGAAATAATCGATAAAACCAAATATAAAAGAGGGAGTTGAAACTGACTCGGACCCGATATTCCAAACTCATGTCGGGAGTGATTGCTAAATTTTCAAGGGAAAACGATGACGAATGAGTAGAAAGACACGAAACTCCGCACACAAAAAAAAAATTGTAACTCGAAATGAATGTATTAACTTCATTGTCTCAAACTATATGAATATGCAATCTGCCAAACATCTTTGAGCGAGAAAAAAGTTAATCGCTTGCTCTCGTTAACAAACATCAAACCGCTAATTGCATAACAAGAGACTCGAACGATCAACGTCACACCTCGTCGTCGTAGCTAAAGTATTAGGCAGACTGATTCACATGGATATTGCTCGACTCGAAAGAATAGAGTTTTGGATTAAATTGGTATCCCAAGGTGGGGGAATGGCCACATCTATCCAGCAAGAATACACTTCACTCACAGCGTCAGCAGCCCACCTTTAAATTGATGGACTCGTAGTTTGCATTCGTACACGCCTCTTCCCTTTTGTCACTTTCTCATCGTACTAAAATAAAGAAGAAGGGCCTTACTATACTGAGTGAACAAAACTGCCACTCTGGAAACAGAACAGAGAGAGTCAGAGACAGAGTACTAAGTCGGAGCAGTACTGAGTTTTCCATTCTTCCCTGGAATCATCCAGCAACAAGAAAGGAAGAGAGAAGCACCAAATAGGTAAGCAAGTTCGATAGTTCCTTGCTACTTTATCAAGTCTTTGTATATGTACAGTTGCATATTTTTTATTCCTCAATATTGAAAGTTGCTCCTTCAAAATCCATTTACTTGTTGGATTGAACTCTACTCATTCCCGTTTCGACTTGATTCGAACTACGGTTTTAAAACTAGAACGGTCGACATCGAGTTAAACCTCTTCCGTCAATAAGTAAAAAATTCAATACGCAAAAGGATTCGTCAACTGTTTCATTGTTTGTTCAGTATAAATCTATTCATTGTAGAGTCTTGGTCTAAAACTACAATTAGTGTTATGAGCACTCCCATTCTTTTTGAGTCCCACTGTTTGTTTGAAATTGAAATCTCCCATCCTCACTCAGAACTGGGCATCATGTTTGTTTAAAATAATAGGCTTGACATTCAGTCATCAGTTCTTGACCAAACGGTACAAGATTAATATGCGACAATCAAGATATGTGCAGTTATTTTTTCAACCAAAATTCACTAATTCTTGCTTCAATTTAAACCAAAAACTTTGAAAAACCACAACGCTTACCTTCCGTTTAGATCTTCTCATTCTCAAAAGATATAGTATACTAAAACCTTCTTTCTTTATATGAAATCGGGTATAAAGCACCACTAACTACCTCATGAAAAAAAAAAAAAAAACACTAATTCAACATCCCAACAACATCATTCAAAAAAGCCAATAGTTTCAGCCTGTCAAGATGGCGATGTGGTTGTGGTGTGGTGGAGTCCAACTTCAAGTAGGAGTTTCCTCGACCGTGTCGAAGGTTTCATGCAATGCCAAGAATCCCTTTTTTCTTTATGAACTAACCGACCTTTTATTGCACAGTTACTACAGTTTATAGCTACAGTGACAATTTCCCATTTGAGATGGTAACTCAACTGTTGGGGCACGTGCCGTGTTTGAATGATAATCCATCCTGTAATTTTAACTCCAGTTAACACAGACACTGAGGCGCTTTTATTGGTCCAGCAAGCAAAATTGGTCTCTTCATCAACAATTCACAAATTTCCTTTCTATGTTCCTTCATATTATGCAATAAATCGGAATCCTATATATTCAGTTTTTTTTCTCACCACCCTAAAAGTCTTTCTGTGTTTAACATTGCTACATCCCCCCATTCTGCCTTCAGATCGTGGCTCAATTCATCCAACTTCCACTTCCACCAAAAAACTTCCACAGGGTTAACAGCAACGAATGGGAGCCCTCATGACACTAATCGTGTTCTTCTGCTTGCCATGTTCTATTCTTCTCCTCCTTGTGCTGAATCTTCTCAGCTTCTTGAATCAAGTATGGCTGAAACCAATCATGATTCAGTCTTCAATGCGTTCCCAAGGAATCAAAGGCCCTCCTTACAGATCCCTGCATGGGAACACCAGAGAGATCAATCACATGAGAAGTGAAGCTGTTGGTACTCCGATGGAGCTGCTTTCTCATGATCTGCTCCCCAGACTCATGCCTCATGTCTATTCATGGACCAAGATTTATGGTAAAGCACACATAAAGTTTCAATCTTTGAGGCTTTTTCTTTTTCTTTTTCTTCTTTCCTTCTTTCTTGTTCAGAAAGGTAAGTTCTATTTTCCCCCTTTTCTCTGGTTGTTGTTGATGAAGGGATGAACTTTCTGAACTGGTATGGAACAAAGCCACAACTGGTTGTTACTGATCCTGAGTTGGTGAAAGAGGTGCTGAGTAATAAAGAAGGAGCATTTCCAAAGAAGTTCATCCAGAGTTATGCTGACAAGTTGCTTGGGAATGGGCTGTTTGCATCACAGGGAGAGAAATGGGTCAAGATGAGGAAACTTGCTAACCAAGCTTTCCATGGCGACTCCTTGAAGGTATCCCTATTTCTCTGAAATCTGAATGCTGACAGAGTTAGATTAAACAAAGCATGCTTTATAGCAGCAGAAAGCAAGTAAGTCAAGAATTTCAATATGGGTTCTTTTTCCTTTTCTTATTTTACAGGCAATGATTCCTGCAATGGTAGCTAGTGTGGAGGCAATGCTTCATAGATGGAGAGATGCGAAAGAGATTGATGCATATCGAGAATTCAAGGTTTTGACATCAGAAGTGATTTCCAGGACAGCTTTTGGGAGTAGTTATGTGGAAGGCAAGAACGTTTTCGATATGCTGATGAAGCTTGGTCTCATTGTCAACAGGAACAACTTCAAAGTTAGCAGCATTCCATGGTTGAAGTAAGTGCATATATATATGCTTCATTCCTTGTTCTTTTTAATATGTTCTTCCTTTTGGGGTTTGCTGTTAGTTTAACCCTTTTTGATCCTGGGTGTCAACAGGAAGCTCTGGAGAACAAGTGATGACATTGAATCAGACAAACTGCAGCAAGCAATTAGGGAAGCAATCATAAATCTGATTAGGAAAAGAGAGGGAAGGGATAGTGATTACTATGGAAGTGACTTCCTTGGATCCCTTCTCAATGCTTTTCATGACAGTGACTTGTCCAGGAAGGTAACCATTGACGATGTGATTGACGAGTGCAAGTCATTCTACGTTGGTGGCCATGAAACCATCACAAGTTCCCTCACTTGGACAGTTTTCCTGCTAGCAATTCATACAGACTGGCAAGACAAGGCAAGAAAAGAAGTTATAGAATTACTTGACCAAAAAAATCCACCCACACTTGACGGTGTCTCTAGATTGAAGATTGTAAGTATGCAGATCTCAAACTGAACAACTCTATGAAATTACAGCGTCGACGTCGATGATGACTTTCAACATGTTTGTATATCTTACTTTTTGCAGATGACTATGGTTGTTAATGAATCACTGAGACTATACCCACCAGCTTTCAACCTCACAAGGGAAGTTGAGAGAGAGACCAAGTTGGGGAGCTATATACTTCCTGCAAAGTTAGCATTGAGTCTTCCCGTCATAGCAATTCACCATAACCCTTTACTATGGGGAGAAGATTGCCATCTTTTCAAGCCAGAGAGGTTTGCTGTTGCTGATGGTGTGGCCAAGGCCTTCTTGCCATTTGGGTTCGGGCCACGAACTTGTGTGGGATCGAGCTTTGCAGCTGCAGAGATTAAGATTGCGCTCTCGATGATTCTCCGACGATACAGATTGAGTTTGTCACCTTCGTATGTTCATGCACCATTCCATATGCTCACTATCTGCCCTAAACATGGACTCCAAATCCTTCTCCACCCGCTCTAACACAGCCATGGAGAAAGAAAAGTAGGTAAATCTTTAAAGTTATTTTAAGTTATAAGATCGACCCAGAAAAGATCAATCTTGTTCTCAAAACAATATACATCAATATGTCTTTATTTATTTATTTATTTATTTTTTTTTTTGCCTCACTTGCAGCAGATTTGTCAACAGAAGCCCCTGCAATTTTTTGGGTTCAATTTAACTTCTTGTTTGTGAAGCCTTGTCAATCCTTTATCTACTAAGTTGGAAAAAAAGGGTTTGGTTAATTTTGTGATGGACCAGTGAGTTAAGAGTAGTGTGGGAAGCTAGACCAGCACACATGGTAGTGTGAACCTTTTTTGGTGATTACCCCCATTCACAAAGAACGATGCTATGAAGAAATCAAAATGAATGGTTAGAAGTGTGGAGTTAGGTCTGCCATTTTCTTTCCCACCTGTCTCTTCTTGTTGGGTTGCTTGGCCATTTAAGCCAAGGAAATGTTGATGCCATGTTGGGGAAAAAGGATAGTAAAGAGGTGTATCTTCATATACCACATCTACTGTCAAGCAAAAATTAATAATATAAACAAAAAAAAGTACATAGCTGTTTTTCTAACATGTGTATTGAAGTATACTAGACCAAGACAACTTCGACGCAACTGGTTCTGACTCCAAATGAACCGGTTAACCTTCTACCCAATAATCTTCCCAAGTTGGTCACCTCAAAGTTCCTCAAGGATGATTTGGAGGCCATGTTTGGGACAAATGGTCAAAACATGAGCTGGTGAGTGTACATACTTGTCCGAGAGCATAAACCTATAACGCTGCAGAATCATGGAGAGTGCAATCTTTTTCTCGGTGATGCCAAAGTTGACCCCAACACAATTTCGAGGGCCCAGCCCAAATGGAAGAAATGCTGCAGATGAGCTGCTGTTGTTTGTAATACTGGCCTTAGCTACTCCATCAGCAAATCTCTCTGGTTTAAACAGGTGAGCATCTTCACCCCATGTTCCTGGATCATGATGAACTGCCAGATTTGGGATGTAGACTTCAGTCCCTTTTGGAAGTATTAGCTTCCCTAATTTCGCTTCCCTCTGGACTTCCCTCGTTATGTGAAAAACTGAAGGGTATAGCCTCAGGGACTCATTGATCACCATACTCAGCTGCAAAAAAAGAAGCAGGAATCAGAATGGTTAAAATCTCTCATGGCAACATCCAAACGACACAGCAATGTAGTTAAAGAGGGAGGAAACAGTGTTTTCTTTTCAACTTACAATTGTTAATCTGGAAATGCCATCAGGAGTTGGAGTTCTGTTGTTGCCAAATAGTTCAAGAACTTGTTCCCTTGCCTTCTCTTGCCATTCTGAGTGTATAGCTAGTAGAAGCACAGTCCAGGTCAGTGAGCTTGCTGTTGTTTCTTGGCCTGCCACATAAAAGGTCTTGCATTCATCAATCAGATCATCCAATGTTATGCTACTGTGTCTGTCTGGATCATTATAAGCCTTGACAAGCAGTCCAAGGAAATCAGTGGCAGGAGAACTAAGCTGTTCTTCTTTCCTTTTGTTCAACATGTTCATGATGATGGCCCTGATCTCTTGTTGGAGCTTGTCAGATTCTTTCTCATCGCCAGTTCTGAAAATAGTTCAGCAGAATACGTCAAAGTTTAAAGGAAATTCCATAATTCGGTCAATCCATAACTCGACCATCGTCGCGATTTGATCTACCAACAACCTGGTTGACCTGTAATCCACAGGCCACAACCTAATTGATTGAATTGACCCGTTACCCAATTGATCAGTGACGCTGGTCTACTTAAGACGTGATTAACTCGTCTGAATAAAATTTGACATGCTCATCCAACATCTTTAAATATTTCAAATTGATTGAGCCTAACTCAATTAAAGCTGACAACCCTAGTTGACTACAAGCACAATGTACCGCTTATCAGATAATCCTGCACCATTTTATGATAAGCTCAAAACTTGATCAACTTCTAATCGTATTGAAAGATAACCCAATTGAACCATAACAAAATTGGTCCATGACACACTTACCCTTAACCTAGTTAATTCAGCTTGAACCAGACTCAAGCTCACCATTTAACACTTCATATTTTACCACTCACAAAATTTCTCAAGGTTCAACAAGCTGAGAATTGGGAAAAACCTCACTTGAGACCAGGAATTCTGACATTGTAGTGGTTTCTTGAGATAATGAGAACCATCTTCGTCAGCAGTTCAAACACTTTCTCCCCTTCCAGGTAGCTGCTTCCAAAAGCTGTCCTGGAAATGATCTCTGATGTTAAAATCTTGAACTCCTGGAAAGCATCAATCTCCTTATTCTTTCCTCCAGGATTGCTCTTCCACCTCTCGAGCATCATCTCCACGCTAGCAATCATCGCAGGAACCATACCCTGAAAGAAGAATGTTCAACAAAAAGTTATCCCTATTAAGTTGGGGGGGATAGTTCCCATAGTGCACTAATTGTTTTTTCTTCATCAAACCTTCAGGCTTTCTCCATGGAAGGCATGGTTTGCTAGTTTCCGCATCTTCAACCATTTGTCACCTCTAGACAAGACGAGTCCATCGCCTAGAAGAACTCTGATGAAATTATGAAAAGGTGTCTTCTCGTATGTTCCATCTTTATTATTGAGCACTTCTTTAATCAGCTCAAGTTCAGTGACAACTAGCTGAGGCCTAGTGCCATGCCACTGCAGAAAGATTTTCCCTGGAAAAAAAACCATTGAACTTTCGTCGTTCAGCTTCATAGTGACTTTCCAGTGAAGAAACTCTTTTCTGTAGTAGACTGTACGTGAACTTTCTATAGAGTGGTAAAAGCTCTAATGTACCCTTAGATCCCTCTCTCAAGAACATGGCTTATTTGGGATGGACCAATTTTTCGACATCATATCAAAAGCTGTAATGTGAAATCTAGTATTTGAATCATGACAACCCTTTTATGCTTACCGTAGAGCTTGATCCATGCGTAGATATGAGGCTGCAGCCCTGGAAGGATATGGTGGGAGAGTTCCATGGTTTGCTTTGCAGCTTCAATCCTCATCAGGTTTATCTCCTTGGTGGTTCCATGAATGAATCTATAAGAAGGGCCTTTGATTCCTTGTTCCCTCATCTTGGACTGCACTCGAATCGGAGTCCACCATACTCTGATAAAAAACCTGCTGATGATCAACAAAAAGTATAAACACAGACATGAAAGGAATGTCAGCAAAATCCCCAGTTCAACCATCTCTCTCTCTCTGTTATTTGTTCAAGGAAACCCTTTCAGACTTTTATCCCTGATTCAACCAAAACTGTTCCGCTTTTCCTAAGTGCAAGTGGTTAGCCATTATTAATATTAAAGGCTTTTGTCATTTTGCCACCTACTGATAACTATATATTACTCAGGAAGAATCCCTGGCGTTTTCAGAAAGAAGACAGAAAGTCTTTTATAATACAGATGGCCGGCAAATGAAAAGGCATCTTCCATGACCAAGACTAATAAAACAGTCACTGTCCATTGCAGGAGGAGAACTAGATGTTGATATATACTAAAGCAAGGCTTCCGCCTCGCAAAACCATTAACCTTGGCCACGGCATTTTTCATATGTTGTAAAAAAACGAGAGCATTTGGGTGTTGGACTTCCATGATTGTTAACAAACAACCACAGCAACAATCCCGGGGCAAGATATATTCATGTAATGAAGCTTCAAATGGTCTGTTACACAGTTATCACAAATCTTTGCCGCCATTTGGTTGAAGTCATTCATTTGGATCTTCTTAAGCAGAGTTGACAAGGAAAATATAAGGAACACTAAAAAACTGGAAAATAGTTAACACACTATAATGCAGGTTTATTGCAGATGCAGGTGGTAGCCATTATTTTACTAGGCTTTGTCATGTGCTCCTAATGGAAGGATATGAATAACGGAGACAAAGATAATGACACGGCAGATGTCTTCTGTTTGCCACACAAATTACCAAAACAATGCAATTGGCCTTTGGTTGAGTGGTTTTATAGAGTTCGTTACTGCTAAGAACAACTTCATATGCTTCTGTATGAGATACTCAAGTGCATGAATGCGAGGCTGGTTGTGAATAAGATTCACAACAGATCTAACATTCATATCCAAATTCTTCTGATACAAGACACATGCTAGAACGGATCAATCAGAACAAGCTTTGATATATCCAGGATGTGATTTCAGTATGGCATATTTTATGTAGCGTGCTAGTGAATTTCTACAGAGCATGGAGGACAATCTGCACTCCATGTTGTGGGTGGAGTGTGAGAGTACTAGTCGGTGAATGGATGTAAGCAGGCGAAAGTGTGAAAGAATAGCGTTGGAGAATCATGGAAAGAGCTATCTTAGCTTCAACAGCTGCAAAGTTGAACCCAGCGCATACTCGAGGACCCATCCCAAAAGGAATGTAAGCAGACAGAACGTTGTTTGTTGCTTTGGCAATGCCTTCAGAAAATCTATCTGGCTTGAAAAGGTGCACGTCTTCTCCCCAAATTTCAGGATCATGATGAAGTGGTAGAGTTGGGACCCTTATATTGGTATTGGAAGGTATCGTGAAATTCCCAAGTCGAACTTCTTTGTCTGTCTTTCGCATCATAGCCAACACCGGAGGATACAGTCTCAACGTCTCATTTATGATCATGCTCATCTGCAAAGCAGCAGAACGCTAGTGATGTGTGATCCTCACTAACGGTGACAAAGTTATGACTATTTGAAGTTCAGAAAATTTACTTACATTCTTGAGTTTCGAAATGCCATCTGGGTCAGGAGTTTGGCTCCCGAAATGAGTCACAACTTCTTTTCTTGCTTGCTCTTGCCATTCTGTATGCATCGACAGAAGTAACACTGCCCATGTTAGCAACATGTTGGTTGTTTCTTGTCCACCAATATAAAACGTCTTGCATTCATCAACTAAATCATCCACTGAAATCTTCTTAAATTCGTCGACTTCATGATGAGCCTTCAAGAGCAATCCCAAAAAATCACCTCCATAGTTATCCAATTCTCCACTTGTCACCATGTTTTCACGCTTCCTGACCATCGCAATGATCAAGTCACGTACCCCTTGCTTAAGCTTCTCTGCCTCAATCTCATCTCTAGTTCTATATATCTTGCTGCAAAGAGGAAAATGTAAAGATTATGAGCACAGAATCCACATTGATGACATCAAAGTAATACAGCATTGAAGTGGGAAAAGGCTTGGACCTTAGGACAGGAGGCCTGATATTAAAAGCATTCTTAGCTACAAGGATGGCCAATTCTGTTAACATTTCAAAGATGAGTTTGCCTTGAAGGTAGCTACTCCCAAAAGCAGTTCTGGAAATCACTTCTGATGTAAGTAACTTGAATTCTCCAAACACCTCAATCTCTTCTCCCTCATGGTTATTCCACCTTTCAAGCATCATTTCCGTACTAGCAATCATAGCTGGAATCATATTCTGAGAGAAGAAAAACCAAAACCTCGCAATCCACACATGAAATTTTGGTTGAGACCTTTCAACAAACACCTAGTGTGCAAACCGCAAAGCACCAGCGTACCTTTAGGCTCTCTGCCTGGAGAGCATGGTTGGCCAACTTCCTCATCTTGGCCCATTTCTCACCTCTCGATGTCACCAGGCCGTCTCCTAGCAGCTTCCTCAAGTAGTCAGTAGGCTCCGCCTTGGAGTAAACTCGCTCCTTGTCATTCAGCATCAACTTCACCAGCTCAGGCTCCAACACAATCAGCGTCGGTTCAGGACCAAGCCAGAAAACGAAATTCCTCCCTACCCACAAACCCCACTGGTCAGAAAAAAACAGCCATAGGTGAAAAGTTGTATGCTTTGACACTTGTCTTTTCTTTTACCGTATTTCTCCGTCCAGGCGGAGACATGAGGCACCAGCCTGCCACAGATGTCGTGGGAAAGACTCGACATGGGCTTGGCCATGGACTCTGTTGTCAACCGGCGAATCGCAAGGGCGTTGCCGTAGATGAACTGGTAAGGAGGGCCTCTGATTCCTCCCGAATTGAACTGTCGCTGAAGCAGAAGAGGCTTCCGCAAAGTCCTGTTCAGGAATACGATCAAACCCACAAGAAGAATTGCGCAGAGGCAGAGAGCCGGCGGCGAGAGTAGGATCAGGGGAATTCCCAGAAGACCCATTTCGTTTGGCGAATTCAAATTGGGAATCGTATCCTGAGCTTTGTGATTATAAACGATAGCTGCATCACTGCGTTTGACTTTGGGTTTGATTTGCTTTCACGCCGGTCGCCGTAATAGTATAGGACAAAGTAGTAGGGCCAAAGGGTAGGCTGAAAGCCTGATACTTTTGTCGCCATTGGATTGGGATCGTTCATTAGGATCTTCTTTCTGACACTTTTTTTCCCGCAACGATAATAGTCGCGCATGAAATGAACTGTATAAAAGCCAGAGAACCGAGTCCAAATGAAAGAGCTAAAATAGTTAAGCAAAGGCCATTTTTCCATTCAGGTTAATTACTGCAGAACTGAAAAACAGAGAAACGAAAAAGGGAAGTAACTTTATTTAGTGATAAGCCTGCTAGCCCATTATTTTAGAATATCATATATAGATACAGCAGTCTGGTCTTCTACTTCTTGTAGAGATTCTGGAAGTAGGCAGAAGGGTTCTTCTCAAACTCGGCCCTCGAAATGTGATGGTCAGCTCCAGGGGCTTTCATGGTTGCAGAGCCAGCTGCTCCAGAAGAGGAGCCAGCAGGTTTTGCAGAAGATGCAGCCTGATTGTTGTTGCTTCCTGCTGAAGAGCCCTTGTTCCCGCTTTCCATTTCTGCTGCCTTAGGTAAGCTACTTAGACTTTTGATTCTAAAGTTGGAAGGTGAGATATTGTCAGAATGCTCTGAAGATGGAAGGTGTTTGGTGGGGAGAAATGGAGGAAATGGTGGGAGCTTATTATATAGCTTATCTGATGGTGGGAGAATGGAGACACCTGGGAATTGATGAATGAGAATTGGGAAGTGGATGGAAGGCTTCTGGTAGTCAAACGTTGAGATTGATTCCCTTCTCGCGTATAGAGTATTGATGGGTTTTTTATTTTTTATTTTTTATTACTTCTGGACTCTGATATTGACGATTAAGTAGGCTCTCTTTTACCAAGACAGTGGGGGGACATCGGAAATTTTTTTTTTTTTTACAAAAGATAATCATATATTGATCGAAAAATAGGCAGTTACATCCTGGATCTCAGCCAGGCCTGAAAATCAAACAACCGACTTATTGTCGGGGACAAAGACAGGGCCTTCCTAGCTACCAAATGAGCTACCCTATTGCTATCCCGACCTATAAATCGCACACTCAACCCGGCATTAGCCCCCATCATCTGCACAATCTCCTCCAGGATAGCCCCTACACGACAATCCCTCACATCCTTCTGGCAGACCTTGTCGATGACAACTTTGGCATCCCCTTCAAACCGCATCTCCGAAAGACCACGCTCCAGACACTAGGCAATGGCCTCCCGGAGTGTTAATAGTTCCACTACCATGGGATCCTCGATGAGCGGGAATTGCAACCCCCTAACCCAAAGCACGCCCCCCATCGCATCAAAGGCTACCACTCCACCCGCAGAGTGTGACCCCCTACGGACTGCCCCATCCCACCGACACACAGGTCCCCCACCCACCCCCCCAGTCCCCCCAGTACGACTCTGGTTGGGCACCGGAGCGGACCGAGTATCCGGCGGCAATCGTAACCACTCATTTATCTGCTGATAATACTGCCTCATTAAGGCAGGAATCCCAAACTGTTTACCTTCAAAGACAACCCAGTTACGAGACTTCCATATCCTCCAGAGGACAGCAGTGATCAGCATGAAATGAGTGGGCTGGTGCAGAACAGAGAACAGTTTTTTCAAGAAGAAAGGGAATGTGTACTGGGGCAAACCCTCCCCAAGATACTCCAAACCCGACTGTGCCCAAAGTGCCCTAGCCACTGGACAAGCCAGGAACACATGCTCCATTGTCTCCGCCGCTTCCCAACAAACCGGACACCGAGGGTGAACATCAACTTCTCGTTCAATGAGCGCTTCAGTTGTCGGGAGGATTCTATTAAAAATCTGCCAAACAAACACCTTCAACTTAGGGGGGATATTGGCATTCCAAAGCCGGATCCAACTCTCCCTATCCATCCAGCTAACCTGAGCCCTCCATCGACCATTCTGCTGATCCAGCCCGACCGCAAGGTGATACGCCGATTTCACTGAGAAGACACCATCTGATGTGCCTTCCCAGATCAAGCGGTCTGCAACATTCTGACGTGGAAGGGGGATAGCTTTAATCATTCGACAAGTTGGAGGATCAAACCATTGCCCTAACTTAGCATCATAAGGGGGGACATCGGAAATCTTCAACCTGGAAGCAAATTGTTATCTGCACCCATAAATAAAAGTTCAGTTTGGCATACCACTATAAAAATAGGTTCGCTTCCCCATGTTTCGTTATCCGCCTTGCTCTACTTATTTGTCATTTTTGTTATTCTTTTGATTATATCTTTTCCCATTCTTTCGGTTATGAAATTGCATCGGATTCATAGATTCGTGGATTGGATTGGTGGATCCATGGATCAAATGGATTGAATCCAATGGATTGGTGGATTTATGCATTGGTGGATTGATCCATGAATCCAAATGACATCCAAGGCTTGGACCAAAATGTAAAATTTGAAAAGTTTTGGTACTAAAATGTCATAATGAAAAATTTTAGGTGCCAAAATGTAATTTTCCAATGATATTTTTTGTATAAAAAAATAAATTTTAGGTACCAAAATGTAAAATATAAAAAATATAGGTATCAAATTGTAATTTGTCATTTGGATCTATGGATTGATCCATGAATCCACCAATCCAATTGGATTTGGATCAAATGGATTGGATTAGGTGGATAATTTGGTGGATGGATTGGATTGGATTCATGGATTTGGATCTTAATTGCCACCTCTAATTATGATCTAATCGATTGGGAAAAAATTCAAAAGCATTTTTGTGGTATGAGTAAAGTTTGAATTTAATATAGGGTAAATGCACATTTGGTCACTAAGATTACTAAATGCACATTTGGTCACTAAGATTACTAAATCGTGTCATATTTAGTCATTAGAAAATTTTAATATCAATTTTGGTCACTCAAATTATTGAAACATGTCACATTTAATCACTCTCCCGTTAGCCTCTGTCCAACTCGAGTCACTCGAATTACTGAAACATGTCACATTTAGTCACTTGAATTACTGAAACATGTCACATTTAGTCACTCTACCGTTAGTTTCCGTCGAAAGAAACTAATGGGAGAGTGACTAAATGTGATCTGTTCCAGTAATTTGAGTGACCAAAATTGATATTAAAATTTTCTAGTGACTAAAAATGACACGATTTAATAATCTCAGTGACCAAATGTGGAATTTACCCTTTGAATATATGAGCGGGTATGATGTATTTTCTTTCTTACTAGATATGCTCTCTTGCTTGGGATTTTTTTTCCCAGAAATAGCACCTTTAACAAAAAATTACAAAAATAGCACCCAGTCCGTAGAAATTATAAAAATATCACACTTTTTTTAAAAACCGCACCCCCTGGTTTAGCATTCTGGGCCAAAACCGCATCTTGGCCATGTGGTTTGTGTGTCTGACCTAACCAAACCGCATGGCCTAGGTGCGGTCTTGTGCTGACCTAGCAAAACCGCACTTTGGGGATGCGGTTTTGCTTCTCCAAAACAAACCGCACACTCAAAATGCGGTTTTGGCAACACAAACCGCACCCCCCAATGCGGTTTGTGTGTCAATTATTTTCCGACACCAAACATATAGCCATGCAGATTGACAGACGTGGGGCTGCATGACAGATGAAACCTCTTCTCTTCATTGATAATTTTGCCTATAAAAGACAGCCCGGGAAACCTCTTCTCTTCACACCTCTCCTTCTCCCTTTTCAATTTTCTGTTGTAGCTCCCTACTTCTCTAGTGTTTTTGCGGTTAATGTTAACTCGTAAGTTTATTTAGTATTACTTTTTATTGTGAATTGTGATTTTTATGATATTAGTTGAACTACTATTTTTTTGCAGATGGCATTCCAAAAGTTCACGCTTGGGTTACGGTGGAATGGTTACACGGAAGAGAGCGGAAAGGGGGTCACCTACGTCAGTGGCAATTTTCAGAAAATAAAGTTCGCTACCAGACCGATGCTTGAAGACCTTTATCAAATGTGTACTAACGTTACTTGCATGGATGGCACGAGAAGAGTTGATCGTATGGTGTACCGATATCTAAACAGAGAAGCAGGTCGTTGTGGCACGAGGAATATCTCATAACCACTCAGGATGAAGTAGATGCCATGCTCGAATTCTTGAGGTCCAACAATCTTTCCAAAGCCGAGATGTTCGTTTACACCGAGCCGATCGTAGGCGTTGGAGGTTATTCTGGAGACGGTCAAACATCTAGTATCCATAGTGGAGGTGAATTATATGGAGATCATCCCTACCAAAGTTAACATGATTCTCATTCCTATTTCCAGCAAGAGCAAGGTGAAGGTCATTATCAATCTTTCATGTCATATGAAGAAGAAGTTCAACCGGACTATGCCAATCAACCCTAGTACAACTTCCAATCAGGCAGTGGTAGTTCTCACAACTACCATTATGAAGCTGATGAAGGTGCCTTTAATGAGCTAGATGAGATGGAAGATGCCCTGCCAGCACCAGTCAGTGACCCCTCCGATGAAGAAGGAGAGAACAACGTTAGTGGCCCTTCATAAACCCTCTTGAAGGTGCTGATGATTCAGGACCAGAGTCAGATAATGATGATGAGGTGGCTCATGACCGTGTACCAGTCCCCTACTACAATCACATTCCAGACGGCAATTGGATGGTCGACAGCGACATGGAACCCCCAGAGGTTCCAGTATGGGGTCCACTCACTAGGTTTATGAAGGGCCAACAATTTGGCTCGAAAAAGGAGGTGCGGCACGCCATTGATACTTAAGCAATGACTCGACATTTTGAATGGCACACAATTCATTCCAACACGAAAAGGCTCATAGTTAGATGCCGTAATCATAACGAGGGATGCAATGTTAGGATTCAGGCCATCAACAGCAAGAGACATGACCATAGGGTCATATCCCATGCGGTGAACACACACACATGTGTGTCATCCGTAACATCCCAAGGCCATCGACAGTTGAAATCAAGGGTGGTTGTTGCGGCTATCAAGCATCTAATTGAGCAAGATCCTGACCTAAAGGTGAAAGTCATAATCGCTGACATTGCAAGTCGTTATGGTTATATGATTAACTATAAGAAGGCGTGGCATGGAAAGCAGAAAGCTCTGGCCGCCGTATTTGGTGATTGGGAAGAATCATATGCATTCCTT